GAAACATACACTCTTCCAAAACTGAATGAAGAAACAGCAGAAAACCTGAACAGACCAACAACAACTAGTGCATCTGAAGCAGTAAACAAAAAACTCCCAACACACAAAAGCCCTGGACCAGTTGGCTTTACAGGTGAATTTTACCAAAATTCTAAGAAGAACTAATTCCTTTCCTTCTCAAATTATTCTAAATAATTCAAGAAAAGGGAAGACTCCCAAACTTCTTTTAATGAGGCAATTAATATTCTAATTTCAAAACCAGGTAAAGACATTACAAAGAAGGGTAATTACAAGCCAATTTCTCTGATGAACACAGATGCTAAAATGCTCAACAAAATATTGGCAATCCAGGTCCAGAACTGCATTAAAAAGACCATACACCATGACCAAGTGGGATTCATCCCAGGGATGCAAGGATGGTACAGTATTTGCAAATCAATAAACATAATGCACCACATAAACAAAATGAGGGGCAACAAACACATGACCATACCATTACATGCAGAAAAAGCATTTGATAAAATCCAGCACCCATTTTTTTTTTTGATGAAAACACTGAGCAAAGTGAGCATAGAGGGAGCATACCTCAACATAGTAAAGGCCATATACAAGAAACCTACTGCTAAGATCATATTCAATAGGCAAAATTGAAAAGCTTTTCCCTTAAGATCAGAAACAAAACAAAGGTATCCACTTTTGCCACAGTATTGGAAGGCCTAGCCACAGTGATCAGGCAAGAAAAAGAAATAAAAGGCAACCAAACCGGAAAGGAGGAAGTAAAATTGTCATTATTCACAGATGACATTATAGTGTACACAGGAAACCCTATAGTCTCCACCAGAAAGCTACTGGACCTAATAAGTGAATGTGGCAAAACAGCAGGATACAAAGTCAATATTCAGAAATCAATGGTGTTTTTGTACACCAACAATGATGTAACAGAAGGAAAAACTAAGGGAAAAAATCCAATTTACTATAGCAACATGAAAAATAAAGTACCTAGGAACAAATTTAACCAAGGGGGTAAAAGACACAATGGAATGCTACTCAGCTGGAAATAAAGAAGGAAATTTACTTATTGTGATATCATGTTTGGATCTGGAGAGTATTGTTCCTAGGGAAATAAGCTAGTCACACAAAGGCATATATCGTATGATTTCACTTATATGTGGAATCTAGTAAACAAAATAAACAAATAAACAAAATAGAAACAGACTCATAGATACAGAAAATAGACTGATGGCTCTTAGAGGGGAGGAGCTTGTGGGGCTGTGTGGAAAAGGCGAGGGGGTTAAACAAAAAACTCCTCATAGACACAGACAACAAACAGTATGGTGGATTACCTAATGGAAAGCAGGGTGGAGAGAGGTAAAAGAAGATAAAGCGGGCATAAGTGGTGATGGAAGGAAACTTAACTTTGGTTGGTGAACACACAATACAAGATACTGATGATGTTACAGAATTGTAAATCTGAAGCATATATAATTTTATTAAGCAGTGCCAACCTAATAAATAAAACAAAAATGAAGAATTACAACATATTCATGTGACTTTTTAATAAATTAAAATACGATAAAGGCAGTGGAGTAAAAATATATTTGTTTACCAAAAACAAAGAAAAAACAAAAATAGATGGAAACAGAAGAATGTTAAATATGAGCTATAGCTTCATGAGTAGTTTCAGAAATCTAGGGAATAATATTTTTCCTCCTTAACACACACATTTTTTTATTGAGCATTAATTATTCTTTTGCTTGTAAATAAATATGTCTTAGTAAATGGGATAAGACAATAATATACAATGCTGGAGTCAGAGAAGAACTTCATCCTGCCCTTTGACAGGTGTAGCCTCTCCCAGCTTCAACATCCCACAGAGCACACATTTCCTGTTCATTTTCCCCCACTTTTCCATTTGCCTATAATCTAAAATATGAAATGTTAATAATGAATAATAGTTAACTTCCTGTCTCACTAGCTAAGTTACAGACTATCAAAAGGGAGTGTGTCTTAGCTAGTACAGGAACACATACCACCCAAAATCCCAAAGAAAGATAAAGTGGAGCTTGTGTCCACTCATCTGAGGAGAAGGTTAGGGATATATTAGGTAAAAGCATGATTTTATTTTTCTTTTATTTGGACATTATTATTAGGTCTAGTATCTTTGGATACAAAGGTAAAAAGGAGTATATTGTGTTGGGTCATTCTATTGTCATATCAGTTTAGAGTTTTTTAAAAAAATTAGTTGGACACAATTTGGAAGATGAAAGATAAACTGTGGTTATTGCTTTTGGAAACTCATGGTGGTAAGTTAGCATGAAATAGATTAACAGACATATCTCCAGTTTCCAGCTAGTTTTCTCTTTAATCTTTTTAAATCTAACTCTTTCTTTAAATGGCTAATCCAGAACACTGAGTAGCAGTGGTCCTAAATCCATTTCCTGATGTTTGGCTGTGGGCCTGCATATGCCCCTTGACTTCACTACTGGCTGCCTTTTATATCCTTGCCTCCTCCAATGAACCTGCTTGGTGATCCTTTAGATCCTCTAAGTCCTCCTGCCAGACATTGTCCTCAGTCCTCTCAAAACTGTGTACATTTTAATTCCTATGTTTAATCTCTTATTCCATAACTGATAGTTATTCTGATTTCTTATTGAGATCCAACTGACACACAGTGTATATATGTAATTTTATTATCTATATAGAGTATTTTACAACTCATTTAGTTGCTTCTTCACCAAGTCAAGGTATCTCATTTTCTTTGGAAGAAGAGAATTGTAGGAAATTAGTAGTGCAATATACAGAATAAAATAGAAGCATTTAGACCATAGTTCAATCACTTAAAAACTGTGTGACCTTGAAAAATTTTGAAATCATGCTGACAAAGTATAAAACTACTTAAGTTGCTGTAGGTAAGATAATGTGAGGAAAAGGAACTTCAGTAGATAATTGTTTATTTTGTATTCACTACATTACCTGGAATATTAAGACCTAATGTTTGTTAAAACACTTAATACAATAAAATGTTATATCATTATTACCTTTAAAACACATTAAAAAGTAATATTGTTATTACTTTCTGTACTTTAAAAAATTTTATTTATTGTTGTTCAGTTACGGTTGTTCCACCCTTTTCCCCATTGTTCTCTCCTACCTTGCCTCCCCCACTCCTACAGTCAATGGCAACCCCATTGTCCTTTCCTATGAGTCCTCTATTAGTGTTCCTTTGCTTGCCCCTTCCTCTTCTTTCCCCCATAAGTCCCCTTCCTGCTCCCCTCTGGTCCCTGTCAGTTTGTTCTTTATTTACAAGTCTCTGGTTCTGTTTTGCTCATTTGTTTGTTTTATTAATTAGGTTCCACTTACAGGTGAGATCATATGGTATTTGTCTTTCACCCCTTGGGTTATTTCACTTAGTATAATGCTCTCCAGTTCCATCCATGCTGTGATGAAAGGTAGGAGTGCTTTCTTTCTTTCCACTGTATAGTATTCCATTGTGTAAATGTACCATCTCAAAAAACTAATGATGGAACTGCCTTTCAATCTAAGGATCCCACTGCTGGGACTATACCCTAAGAATTCTGAATCACCAATTCAAAAGAACCTGTGGACCCCAATGTTCATAGCCGCATTATTTACAATAACCAAGTGCTGCAAGTAGCCTAAGTTTCCATCAGTAAATGAGTGGATCAAAACACTGTTGTACTTGTACTTTTTATTTCTTTTTTGTGATAACATCAAGCAGGTATAATCTAAATTTTTGACTGTTACCAAAATTTTTTTTTCGAAATATTGCCTTGTTTCAGTATTGAACAACTCATATTTCCAGGTTAGACATTCATCAATAATTTACTCACTCAGCATTTTAGATGGATTTATACATTTTTCAATTATACATATTTGTTTCCAAAACTTTATAGAAACTTTGTTTATAACATTTTGTTTTTCCTATTGGTTATAACAGAGCTCAAATTATTATATACTGGTTAGGTATTTTGGTTTTTCTTATGTTATGTGGCCAAAAAGTCCACTTAGTGTTTTCATAAAATTAAAAGACACATTTTTCATTTTCACCAATAATTTTATTGATTTTGATATTTTGAGTATGTTGGCTGAGTGGTATAATATTGATTGTTCTCAATTAATGTCTTGATTTGTATGCTATCAACTTCAACAGGTCTACCGAACTGTGGAGCATTGTTCAGCAAGAAATTCCAGCAGCATGAAAGTTCAAAAACCACTTTTGACACCTTTGATCAGTCACAGCACCTTCTGCATACGTTGTAAAAATCTTTCTGCATTTCAGTTGCATTTTTACCTTTCTTAAAATAATAAAGCATAATATGCCGAAAATGTCACTTATTTTCTTCCATCTTCCATATTAAAATGGGGACACAAAAATTCACCAATTTTGATAAGCTTTTTTAAGTGCACACTGATAAGACGGTTGCCACAATACAATCTAACAAAGTTGTTTGAAATAAAGTTAAAGACAATTAAGCACTATTAGAGCCATCTGATGGAAAACAAACAAACTTTTTGGCCAACCCAGTAAAATTGTCTTATTATCATTTGATAAAAGAGAGAAGATTTTTATTAAATTTTAAGTGTTTTTTTAAGTACTTATAAAGTTTTAAAATGGAGCCCATACATAATATAGTCCTAATAATTTCCTGAATGTCACAAATACTTTTCCCATAACTTTATTTAGTTTCTTTTTAGGTTACATACAATGATTGAATGATAGGTGAGGGAAGATTTTTGTTGTCTAGAAAGATTTTCTGGTGTTCTATTATGAGAGAACTTGTTCTTGTTAAAGCTAAGTTGAATGGAGCGAAGGGTTGCAATTTGTGCATAAGGGGTGCCCAGAGTAAGATTCAAAGGGCTATGAGAAGGTTAACTTGACTGGGTTATTGATTAATAAGAATAAAAAAAAGTTCAGGAGTTTTACGAAAAATTTTAAGTTATTCTTTTATTCTCAAGAATTAATTAAATTTACTGCAAACTTACTTGTGGGCAAGAAATGTAATTCTTTTGATGGTGTCTTTGAAAGCTTGTTTCACTTGCTTGTTCCTCAAGGTATAAATGAAGGGGTTCAACAAGGGAGCAACAGATGTAGCGAGCAAAGATACCCCTTTATTAACACCCACCTCATCTTTGGCTGAAGGTTTGATATAGATGAAAATACAGCTGCCATAAGTCATTGAAACAACAATCATGTGAGAAGAACAAGTGGAAAAAGCTTTTTTTCTTTGCTGAGTGGAGGGAAATCTTAGAATTGTTCTGATGATACATATATAAGACAAAATCACACCTATTAGTGTGATAATGAATGTCAACACTGCACAAATTATAACAGCCTGCTCTATAAACCATGTATCTGAGCATGAGATCTTAAAAAGGGGAGCTTCCTTACAGCCAAAATGATCAATGGCATTGGAGTCACAGAATTCCAGCTGGAGGCCCATGCCAAGTGGTGTGATGATGACCACCAACCCAGAGATCCAGCAGCAAAGGACAAGGATGGTACAGGCTCTGTTGTTCATGATGGTCAGGTAGTGCAGGGGTTTGCAGATGGCCACATAGCGGTCGTAGGACATGGCAGTGAGGAGAAAAAAGTCAGTGGCTCCAAAGAGTCCAAAAAAGAATATTTGACTGGCACAAGCATTATAAGTAATGGTATTGTCTCCAGTTGATAAACTGTACAGGAATCTGGGAATACAGACTGTTGTGAATGAGATTTCTAAGAAGGAGTAATTTCGAAGAAAAAAATACATAGGTGTTTTAAGATGAACATCCATAAGTGTAAGAATGATAATGGTCATGTTTGCAGTTATGCTCAGAATGTATGTCAGAAATAAAAAGACAAAAACCAGAACTTGGAGCTTTGGATCCTCTGTAAGTCCCAACAAAATAAATGTTGTAATTGTGTGATTTTTCATTATTACCTTTAGTGTTTTATGCAGTCTGCCTGCAGTCAGGGAGAAAGAATCAAAAGGAACGTAACATCCCAGAAAGCACAAACATCATATTATTCCCTCCTGCCTTTATGAAATCCATGACTTTTGTAAAAATTAGTTACAAAGTCCTCTTCTGAAAAGACCGTTGAGCTCCATGTACTGCTCTTCCTGCAGGAATCGCAATCATCTCTTTTAACATGTGTTCTCCATCCTGTACAAACATTCTTTAAGAGAAGAAAATACTTGTATTTAAAAAATCATAACCTAAATCTTGTCATTTGTTAAGAGTCTCATTTTTTCTAGAACACCTCATCTTTAAACTTTTTGTTTCACTAGGACTTAACACACACACACACACACACACATTTTTGTCACACAACCAGTTTTCTACAATAATAGGAGAACTGTTAAACACAAGGTATGAACTATATTTCTCTTGTATCATTCACCTTAGCTCAGGTTAAAACTGACTTAACTAGTGTGCTTTCAAGATCATATTTAAATAAAAATTTAAAAGATTATGTATATAATCCTGTTTTACTCCTTTTTAATTTCCATGCTCTTTATAGATATCTTTTCTATATATTTTCCTGTTACTGACTGCCCAAACATCTTAAATCTCTTTTCCTTTTTTAAAAGATTTATTTATTTATTTTTAGAGAGGGAAGGAGAGAGAAAGAGAGAGAGAGAGAGAGAGAGAGAGAGAGAGAGAGAGATATCAATGTGCGGTTGCTGGGGGCCATAGCCCTCAACCCAAGCATGTGCCCTGACTGGGAATCGAACCTGCGATGCTTGGTTTGCAGCCCGTGCTCAATCCACTGAGCCACGCCAGCCAGGGCTCAAATCTCTTTTCTTCATCCACTAATAAATTAATCATCCTTTCCCAAGTAATAATGTCAGCCTTAAAGGCAAAGTCAAAGGAGATAATCATGATCATACTCTGTTTGTTATATATCTCAAGGTGAATGTCTTTATAAAAATAAACTAATAAAATAGAAACAAAGGTATGAACACATGGAACAGACTGATTGCTGCCAAAGAGAAATGGGGAGGGGGCTTGGATGAAAGAAGGTGAAGGGGTTAGCCAAAGAACCTATATGCATAACACATAGACATAGATGACAGTGTGGTGATGACCAGAGGGAAGGAGGGGCAGGTGCTGGGGGGGGAGGAGGGCAAAGATGGGGAAATAGGAACATCTCTAAGAGTGTCAACAATCAAAGTATAGGGGAAACACATTAGTTTAAAACCTTATATGAGGGCAGACCCAAAAAACCAGAGTTATTTTCTGGAGGGCTGGTCCCTTGTATTACAGGCCTCCCCCAATAGGTGAGCATTCTAGGAACCCATGTGTATCAGTGTACTAGCTGACATTGTTGTGAGAAGCTGCATTCAGCTTTGGTGAATATTTTTAAAGACTCAATGCATTTGTCCATTTTATGGTAGGTGACATATGAGTGCACCTGCGCACACAGTGCTGTGTTCAGCAGTTTTTGATCAATAAGGGCATGACCCCCAAGACCCACCATCCCTATTCACCCCACATCATCCCTAGCAAATTTTTTGGTTTGTTTTTCCAGATGAAAAAGGTCCTCAAAGGGAAACATTTTGCTGATGTGGAAGAAATGAAACAAAAAAAGTGGCAGAAGCACTAAAAGGCATCAAAAATGAAAAGTTCAAAAACTGTTTTGAGCAGTGGAAAAGTCTCAAAAGGTGTATTGCATCAAATGGAGAGTACTTTGAAGGTGACTGTAATTTAAACGTGTAAGAATAGATATACAACTTATATTTAAGTCTTTTATCCATCTTGAATTTATTATTGTGTATGGTATAAGTTGGTGATCGAGTTTTATAGTTTTGCATGTAGCTGTCCAGATCTCCCAACATCATTTGTTGAAGAGGCTATTTTTACTCCATTTGGAGAACATAGACAGGAAAATCTCAGATATTCCATGCAGCAATATTTTCCCCAATATATCCCTTAGAGCAAGGAAAGGAAAGAATAAACAAATGGAACATCATCAAAATAAAAAACTTCTGCATGGCTAAAGAAAACAGCAGTAAAATGAAAAGGGAACCAACTGTATGGGAAAATATATTTGCAAATGGACAAGGGTTTGATCTCTAAAATATGTGAAGAACTCACAAGACTCCACTCCAGGAAGACAAACAACCCAATTAAAAAATGGGCAAAGGACTTGAACAGACACTTCTTCAAGGAGAACATACAGAGTGTCCAGAGACATATGAAAGGATGCTCAGTATCACTAGCCATCAGAGAGATGCAAATTAAAAACAATAACCACAATGAGATACCACTTCGCATAGGTGAGAATGGCCATCAAAAACAAATCAACAAACAAGTGCTGGAGAGCTTGCAGAGAACTGGGAACCCTAGTGCACTGTTGGTGGGAATGCAGACTGGTGCAGCCACTGTGGAAAACAGTATGGAACTTCCTCAGAGAACTAAAAATGGAATTGCCTTTGACCCAGAAATTCCACTGATGTGATTATACCTTAAGAATCTTGAAATACCAATTCAAAAGAACCTATGCACCCCAATGTTCATAGCAGCACAATTTACAATAGCTAAGTGCTGGAAGCAACCTAGGTGCCCATTAGTAAATGAACGGATCAAAAAACTATGGTACATTTACACAGTGGAATTCTATGCAGCAGAAAGAAAGAAGGAGCTCCTATCCTTTGCGACACCATGGATGGAGCTGGAAAGCATTATGCTAAGCAAAATAAACCAGGCAGTGAAAGACAAATACTATATGATTTCACCTTTAACAGGAACCTAAACAACAAAGGAAAACAGCAAACAATATATAACCAGAGTCTTTGAAATTAAGAACAATCTAACAATAGCCAGAGGGGAGGGGGAAGGGCACAGTGGGAAGAAGTGTTTCCAGGAACTACTATAAAGAACGCATGGACAAAACCAAGGGGGGAGGTGGTGGAAGCAAGGGAGGAAGGTGGGTTTGAAGGGGGTCGGAGCGGGGGGAATACAGACAATTGTAATTGAACAATAGAATAATTTAAATAAAAAAGACAAAAAAGAAAAAAGAATAATAAGAATTTAGAAGTATGTATGTCATAAAAAAGCACAAAAATGGCTGAGTGTAGTATCTCTTAATTGTGAGAAACGTACAGAGAAGGCAATTCTTGGGGATAATAGCAGAGACTGACTATTATATTTTTTAAAAAGAAGTGTGTGTTCAATATGAGTTTGAATTATGTTGTTCTCAGCTATAGTCTGATCCTATTTTCTTCAGACAACATATTGTACTAACCCTTAAATTTATCTCTTGCTATATTCTTGGTAAATATCAAGTAAATACTTCACATTGTTTAAATAGTACTCATTCTATAATGGCATAATCGATAAAATATGTTTTAAAAAGTACTCATTCTTTATGAAAATAAAATTCTGGTTTGTGCAGAAGTACTTCCAGAACATTGCCCAGTTACAAGTTTGGAATTTTCAATGCAGCCTAAGTAAAAGCTTAACTCTGGAAAAATATTTAACTGGTATGTTAACTTGATGGTGTCCGCAGTACTTTTTTTTTTTTCATGGAAGTAGTCATCGTGGAGACAGAGTTTCATGTTGTTATAAAAGAGTTATCAGATAGAAAGCTTACATCATTTTTATTAATGGAAAAAGTAAAATTATTTTCTTTGGTAGTGTTTTCCCAAATCTGACATTCTGACCTTATTTTTTAAATTCTCATTCTCAATTTTTCTATTTATTATCTCTGTGGGTTATGACAATACATCTTTTAGCTTTTAGAAGAAATGAAGCATCATTACTCGCATATTATTTACATTCCAGAGAAAATAAACTGACATAAACATCAAAATACTTACTCTTATAATAATCATTGAGGCTTGAGTTGTAGTTTTAACCAAAAAATTCCTGAGAGGGACTAAAAATTAAACAAAAATACACAAAGAGTAACCTGAATGTCCATGTTTCTCCTGAACTGCACTTGCACTCACAGGTGGCTTTGTGAACAAAGGAACAGAACTATCTCGATTTTTCATGTTCTGTAACAACTAAGATATTATTTCTCATTTTAGAATCTGCCCTACCTGAAATTAGAATATAGAATTTTGAATAGCTAAATGGGAGGAAAAAATAATGAATAGTAGGGGAAAGCCAAAAAATTTTGGTTCTTGGAAAACTGATGATTTGGCCTGACATTCTTAAGGTAGGTTGGTTTTATTTTAGCACAATTTTCATATTAAGGAAACTGAAGGGGCTTTTATGTACTTAATTTGCAATAGGCATACTGGGATTAGCTAAACAAATTTAAAGAGATGAAATATAATGAAACTGTCTTGAGTGACCCTGGTTCAAAGTTATTAACTAATTTCACAACATGCAATTAAAACAAAGCAATGGGGACAGTGTCCTAGGGGACAAAAGGATTCAGCAACTACAGACATTAAAGTAAACATGGCATCACCAGTCTTCTACATTTATTTACAAAAATTGTTGCTCTCTTTTAATTTAATGCAATAGATCACTAATTAGGTAAAATAACTTTCCAGATATTAGTAATTTATTCTTCATTTATGAATTGGAATATACATGTTTTACCATTTCTAAAAGCTGGAGTTTGGCTGTGTCCTTATTACTTTAAAAACATTTTAATGTTGTAAATAATTATATTTTGTTAGTCATATATATTTTAAATATTTTAATTTTATGTATACTTTAATATAACAATATTTTGATATTTCTAAAATATTTAGTAATATGTCTAATTTTACCTTATAGTTTATTAATTTGCTTTCATTTTTAGAAAGGTTTTACTAACATGTATCATATATTTGTTTATATTTTTTCCTAGGCTATAGATTTTAATTTATTGGTATCCTTAGCTTTAACTATTTGAATAATATTTGGTTACAGGTCAATCTAAATCTAATTGTCTCCATGCAATTAGTTAGTTGTTTGAACACCATTTATTAAAGGTACC